CCGTAACCAATAGTGTTAGGTCCAAGGCTGAGCCTGGCATTATCGGATGCTATATGAGCGAGTACCACGTGGCGTGTGGACCTACTAAAACGTTCCATGCCACGTCTCAGTGTACCAACTAATCCCACACTCAATGAACCTTTCGCGTCCATCGCACGGCTACACAAAACCGTGCCTTTGTAGACGTCATCCTCCGTACGTACGCAGTTCTCACGATGTCGAGCACATCAATCAACAATCATCAATAAAAAAAAGGGATCACGCCCACCTTAAATCTGTGCGCCACACACTCTCTACTCTAGTCAACCATTCAGTCAGCGTAAATAACAGACACAGTCGCGACTCGAGTGGTGTACTCAAACTCTGAATTAAACCTATTTTTTATCATTTGCAAAAACACAGTGGATACCCTTGTAAGGGTATTCACACTGACAACGCGCACTTGTGTCTTATCGACAACGAGGAGGGTGTCGTCACGACGCCGAGAGTTTCCCTCTTTCCCCGCAGAAAAGAAACCTCTTATGCCCCCATATAACCCCTACCTGCCTTGCTAACCTTTGCACGTCATTCCCACAATGACCCGACCCCTATCTTTTGTGCGCTAAATTACAAGCATGACTGGTGTTGTGCAAGGCAGAAGCGCAAGTTACAGAACTACCGCCTTGTTAAAAAACAAAACTCATCCAGCCAGCCACGCTGTCTACTAGAGCATCGAGACCAATACTGCCACATAGTCCAAAAGAGTCGCCCACACTCCATGGCCTCATCGGGATACCGATGCATGCCCTTCGTCAATATCCATCTTCTCCCCGGTACCACTAGCCATCATCTCTTATACCACCAGTACCTCGCTCAGCTATCAAGTCCGAGGCTCAGACTCCTCGAGCCTCGGACTTTTTCGCCGAGCTTTGGACAATTGGTAGTACATCACAGGAGAATAAAAGAAGTAAAAAAAAAAAAAAAAAAAAAAAAAAAAAAAAAAAAAAAAAAAAAAAAAAAATAAATAAAAACAAAACATACATGCCAAACGAAACAGATAATCCTCGATATCTCTCAACAGTCAGGGCCTCGCTGCACTACTCTCGCAATGTGCAAAACGAGAGTGAATCTGCTGCTAGAATATGGAAAGATACACCACCATGATTTTTGTCGGTTGTGCATGTGGAGAGTAGTGCAGCGAGACCCTAATTTTCGTGAGAGGTTCAGAGAGAGAGAGAGAGAGAGAAAGAGAGAGAGAGAGAGAGAGAGAGAGAGAGAGAGAGAGAGAGAGAGAGAGGGCGTCAGGGAGTGTCTAACGCCGAGTTTGATGGACCAAACTCGGCGTCAAACACTGCCTGACGCCCTCTCTCTCTCTCTCTCTCCGTTGAAATGTGAATGAATCTTCCATGTTATCGTGGAAGATTCATTCAAATTTGAAGGATTTTTTTTTTCTTCTCTCTCTCCCCCTCTCAACGTCCAAATGTGAATGAATCTTGCGCGTTATCGTGGAAGATTCATTCCAATTTGAAAGTTGAGAGAGAGAGAGAGAGAGAGAGAGAGAGAGAGAGAGAGAGAGAGAGAGAGAGAAAGAGAGAGAGAGAGAGAGAGAGG